CTGGTTATTATTATGTGACCGGTTATTATTATTATTATTATTATATGACCGGTTATTATTATTATGTGACCGGTTATTATTATTATTATGTGACCGGTTATTATCCCCTTAAGGACACATGACGGAAATATTCCGTCATGATTCCCTTTTATTCCAGAAATTGTGTCATTAAGGGGTTATTATTATGTCACCGGTTATTATTATTATTTGACCGGTTATTATTATTATTATATGACTGGTTATTATTATTATGTGACCGGTTATTATTATGTGACTGGTTATTATTATTATGTGACCGGTTATTATTATTATATGAGCGGTTATTATTATTATTATATGAGCGGTTATTATTATTATTATATGAGCGGTTATTATTATGTGACTGGTTATTATTATTTATTACAGTGAGAGTTTCTCTGTCACAGTGTGCGATGAGCCATTTATCGCCGTTTAGTAAGTAGCGATACCTGCAGCGAGTTCTGGCACTGTGAGCTCCCCGGCCCGGGTGGACAGGTTCCCCAGATAATCCAGGACCAGCCGCTCTCTGTCCTCCCGGATCCCGGCCTCCCCCAGGGCGAGCTCCAGCGAGGACTGAACGGCACTGAGCGACAACACGCTGCCCGGAGCCGCCATCTTACTGCTCCGCCCCGCCCCGCCCCGCCCATCTTACTGCTCCGCCCCTCCGCCATCTTACTGCTCCGCCACGCCCCGCCCATCTTACTGCTCCACCTCTCCGCCATCTTACTGCTACACTCCTCCGCCATCTTACTGCTCCGCCCCGCCCCCATCTTACTGCTCCGCCCCGCAACGCCGCGCCCATCTTACTGCCCCACCCCGCCCATCTTACTGCTCCACCCCTCCGCCATATTACTGCTCCACCTCTCCGCCATCTTACTGCTACACTCCTCCGCCATCTGACAGCTCCGCCCCGCCCATCTGACAGCTCCGCCCCGCAGCACCCATCTTCCTGCCCCACCCATCTTACTGCTCCACCCCGCCCATCTTACTGCTCCACCCCGCCCATCTTACTCTGCTCCTACCCCTGCCCATCTTACCACCCACCTCCCGCTCCATCTAATGTTCCTGCCTCACCCGCCCATCTTACTGCTCCACCCCTGCCTCACCGCCCATCTTACTGCTCCACCCTGCCTCACCCCCTGCCCATCTTATCATCAGTTCCTCCACCCCGCCCATCTTACTGCCCCACCCCTGCTCAATACCCCGCCCATCTTACTGCTCCACCCTGCCTCACCTCCCTGCCCATCATCTTGCTCCACCCCGCCCATCTTACTGCTCCACCCCGCCCATCTTACTGCTCCACCCTGCCTCACCCCGCCCACCGGTACCAGGCCGCCATATAAGTGCTCCGCCCACCCCGTGTAACAGCGGGCAGACAGTCTGCAGCCGCACATTCACTGTGACCTCCCCGGGTACCGGCCTGACTGGAACCTGAATAATAATAATAATAATAATAATATAATATAATAATAAATATATAATACTATACAGCACTGTGTTACTATTAATTATTATATAACTAACTGTGAGGAAAGTGCTGACAGAAATCACAGTAACAGCTTCACACGCAGATTCCACAAATATAAAATTATTATTATAATAGAATGTCCGGGAAATAATAATAATAATAATATACTGCACTGACTGATATCGCTGGGTGTATAATAATAATAATAATAATAATAATAATAATAATGTTTGTAATGATTGTGTGAGGAAAGTGCTGATTTCAACAGACAGACAGGAAGCGATCGGCGCGAGATGGAACTTCATCAACTCTCAGTGCAGAATATTATTATAGTATTATTATTATTATAGTATTATTATTATTATATAGTGATAGTCAGTGCAGTATATTATAGTATTATTATTATTATTATATAGTTATAATCAGTGCAGTATATTATAGTATTATTATTATTATTATATAGTTATAATCAGTGCAGTATATTATAGTATTATTATATAGTGATAATCAGTGCAGTATATTATATAGTGATAATCAGTGCAGTATATTATTATTATAGTATTATTATATAGTGATAGTCAGTGCAGTATATTATTATTATAGTATTATTATATAGTGATAGTCAGTGCAGTATATTATAGTATTATTATATAGTGATAATCAGTGCAGTATATTATAGTATTTATAGGTTTATATAAATTCTCAGACATTACTGTTATATTTCTGTTAATCAGAATATTATCTTTAAAGTGCCTAATGTCTGAATAACTGTTATAATGTGTTAATAACCATGTAATGTCTAAATTACTCGAATGTAATCTTTTACATAACTCTGTTTCAGTGATGTCAGAGAATGAAATCCCAGAAATCGATATATGGGATTATAAATCCCTGAGGAAAAGTAAACAGTTAAAGACCAGTGAGGAGAGAACAGCACAACAACACAACAGAGAAGCTGCAGCATCATCCAAACGTGAGCAGAAAAAGACAGACAGATTGAAATCCAGGCAGGCGGATACCACAAAGGATCCCAGGACAGCTGGGAAACAAAATGGACACAGACTTGGCACTTGTACACCAACAACAAAAAGGTCCAATAAAACCCAGAGTCCTGGGACCAGCTTCCCCCGGCACAGTGGGCACTGTCCCAGCTGCCAGATGCCATTTTCTATACTCCTGGTACAGACACCCAGGTGGCATGTGAGCGAGTGCTTGGACACGCCAGCTCTCACAGATAAAGGTAACCCATCCTTTACTTTCTGGTAAATCAACCTGACCTCCTGCAGCTCCGGTTTATGCCAATTACGATCACTCTCAACCAGTCAACTCTAACAACAAAGTTAGATCTGTTTGTGGGTGATGGCAAATGTAGATTTTAGCACTTTCCTGTAACTCAGCATTGTTGGACGCTGCCAACATTTGACCAGTACATACAAATATAAATCTAGAGCAGGGTTAGGCACCCGCTGGCACTGCAGATGTTGTGGACTACATTTCCCATAATGCTCTTACAGCCCCATCTACTGCCAAAGCATAATGGGAGATGTAGTCGAAAACATCTGGAGTGACGAATGTTGCCGATCCCTGATCTAGAGAACATGTGAGGCTTCCATTGGAGAGTAGAGCCCTCTTGGTCACTGGTTCCCAAACCATCCTTAATGACCCAGCTACAATCCAGGATTTATGTATTTTTCTTTTCTATTCCAATCGGAGATTCTGACAAAACCTGGAATGGGCCATGAGGTTGTTTGGGAACCACCGATCTAGAAAATGGGGAATTAAACCCAGTTTAAGATCGTGGAACTAGCCAACAGGACAAAAAACAAACAAAAAAAAAAAAAAACAGTTTACCTACTTTCCCCTTTACAAACAAACATTCACCTTAAAATGTGCAAATATTGGGAAGTTATTACAGTTATGTAATAGGAACTTCACCATTGACAATGTTTAATTGTTACATGTATTCAATAATTGAAAGGTAGAATTTACAGACTTTTTAGTACAGCTTGTAGCTGCCAAGGACTAGACGTCTCAGCATTCTCTAGATTTACTTAAAGGGTTATTCGCTAAACTAAGAACTGGCCAGAGAATCACACACCCTAGATCAGTGATGGCTAACCTGGACACCCTAAATTGTTTCTGGACTACATTTCCCATGATACTCAGCTAGCTTTTAGACTCTAAAAGCTAGCTGAGCATCATGGGAAATGTAGTCCAGAAACAATTTAGGGTGTCCAGGATAGACATCACTGCCCTAGACCAACATAGCCAACCTGAAAAATCCAACTCTGGTATTTCTCTCCAGCTGACATGCTTTTTGTAATCCCCTGGTATTTTCCTGATAACAATTTAGTAAATAATCCAGATAGTGTTTTCTTACAGGCTTGATTGTTTTGGCATTTTGTATGTTAAAGCCCATTGACATCTTACACAGTTATGCTCTAACATGGTAAATTATCAAATGATCTGTTTACAATAGGACACTGGGGTATACATTCATCTGTTCCTTTGTTTCTTTTCCAGAATGCCCCGATGGCATTACATGCAGTTCCACTATCCCGTCACACTACAAGAAGTTCAGCCACTTCCAGCTTGCTCAGAGTCGTGCAATGGATGAGCTTAACCGTTCTCCACTATACTCAGCCCTTCATTCATCTCTTGAAACTGCCAAATCACCAGCTACTCATCGTTCTAATCGTGGACTGGACAATGAAATCAGACCTGAAAACTGCATTCCTGCACTAGATATTAACAATACACCTAGGAGCCAAAGATCTCCTCAATCACAGTCACCTGCAAGCTCTCAGGAATCAGTAAAACAGACGTCGCTTGATGTCTGGCTTTCATCACCGTCCAAAAGTGTGCTATCACAAGGTTCACTGTCCCCAAACAGCCGTACTGATCCTCTTTATAACAGGTTAAATGATGTCACAGCCCCAAACCTCCCACATCAAGCCCCCAATTATTTTGATTGTGAAATCTCTTATTCTCCTCTACACAGTGACGAGGAGCTATACAGCGATGACAAGGATAGCATCACTAGCTCAATAAAGAGTGCGCTTCCCTGTCAGTCTGCAGAGGAGAATTTGCACAGGAATAAAGAGAGTTTAACGGGAAATCAGCAGCTTGAAGACTCTCATAGCAATGGGGAAACATGCAATAGAAGTAACTCAGAACCCTTATTCTCAGAGAGCATCACCCATGAGCCTTTCCCATGTGCTGCTAATCAGCCTGAAACTGCACCAATCACAGAAGATGATAATTGGTCCATATACAGCTCACCTGCCTCCTGCATTAATGATAGGGATGTACACCGCCCTGAGCTTAACAATTGGTTAACAGCAGAACATGATAACAGACTAATCGTCTCTTCCAGCCAGATGAACAAAGTGATTTTACTTGGTAACATTCAGTCTGAACAGAGTGGTTGTGATAGTTTGAAAGACAGGACAAAGCAGGTTAGTCTCCTCTGTATTCAACCGCCGCTGCAGCACACACCCGGACTTTCTCAACCTGCAGTAAAAGGTGAAATAGGAGAGATACCTGTACCCCAGGGAAGTGCTACCATGGCCACTGTAGAAATCGCTAATGCCAAGGCAAAGAAACAGATGGACATTGGGGTGTTCTTTGGGCTTAAACCCAAACCTGTCATAGAGAAAGAAGCTGTGTTCCCTTTGAAGTCCCAGAGTTTGAATGACGTTACAGCCCAGGGGGGTAATAAACGCGGCCCAAGGAAGAGGAAAGCTCAGGGCTCGCTTGGAGACACCGATTCTCTTAATGAAATTCCTAATTCATTGGAGATGGGGAGCCACAAAAGACAGGGGAAGAAATTCAGGCAAAACTCAACAGGAGAAGGGAGTGGGAAGAAGAAATGTCCATTCTACAAGAAAATCCCAGGTATGTCCTGACTTACTGCAAGACAATTCTACAAGAAAATCCCAGGTATATCCTGACTTACTGCGGTTTTATGGGAAAATATTTTAACTCCTCTTTTCACCTATGTCAAGACTAACACCGGCCCCTGCTGCAAAGAAAATCCATGTGCCGCCTGCCCCTGACCTGTAATATAAATCTGCGTACAGTTTTAGCTTTTCAGTAAAGTGTCATTAATTTCATACTTCAGACTATAGTAGTCAATCTGAAAACTGAGATCTAGAGGATTTTTCTGATTCAACTATTGTGATCTAAAATTTGAAATCCCTATAAATTCCTCAAAGTAACACTTTAGTTAATAACGATGTTAGCGAATAATGCTGCTAATGTATTTTGTCACGACTTGGTTTTTATTCACTAAATCGTGATTTGTGCAAAAAATCTCCAACTTAGACCTTCTCTTTGGCTATTTTTTTTGTCCTAATATTTGCAATTCCATTATCAAATCTCAAATTCCTCAGGTTAGTGAGGACACCCTTCATACACCCCATAATACATGATACGTTTGGGGTCTCACTCAGCCAGCTGGGTTGTGGCCCATTGTCAACCAGCAAACTGTAATCCAGATTCAACTGGTACATCATTGAGGTGTGCATTCAAAGCACTGTAATATGTGATATTTGGGAATCCAGGCCAACTCTCTCATTTTGGCCCCTCTGTCACAAGTACCTCAATTCAGTGCCCTTATTTAACATTGCACTGCAGAGAGCAATGGGGGAAGGATTTCCCAAGTAAGTGGGTTAATTTAATTAACCCCTTAAGGACCAAACTTCTGGAATAAAAGGGAATCGTGACATGTCATGTGTCCTTAAGGGGTTAAAGCAGGTTGGGTTGTTAGAATAGAACCTGCCAAAAATGGTGTGTGTGTATTTCTTACCCACTTCCCTCCCCCACATATACAAAACTTTATTAAAATACAGATTTGCCAGTAAGTGGTTTTACAATATAAATCCAAGTGGTGATCTTTCTCTGGTTTTTTGTTTTGCAGGGACTAACTTCACTGTGGACGCCTTTCAGTATGGACAGATCGAGGGATGTTCTGCATATTTTTTGACTCATTTCCACTCTGATCACTATGGGGGTCTCACAAAGAAATTCCGATTCCCAATTTACTGCAGCAAGGTAAAACATGCCAGCCGTCCCTAGCATGGGATTGATTTAACTTTTCATTACTTGCTAATAACTAGGTGTGCCCTTAAATGGATGCCTGGCAGTGGGCTTTGCCCTGTGATTTTTTTAAATGGATGCCTGGCGGTGGGCATTGCCTGGTGCCCCTGGAAAGGATGCCTGGCGGTGGGCATTGCCTGGTGCCCCTGGAAAGGATGCCTGGTGGAGGGCATTGCCCGGTGCCCCTGGAAAGTAGATTTGTCTTCATATAAGACCGTTATACAGAACAGTCCAGTAGAGGGAGTAATCATACCGAAGATTTGTACAAGATACAAATGAGATGCAGCCGTTAACATCCTATAGGTTACCGTATATACTAGAGTATAAGACGACCCGAATATAAGCCGAGGCCCCTAATTTTACCACAAAAAACTGGGAAATCTTATTGACTCGAGTATAAGCTTAGGGTGGGAAATGCAGCAGCTACTGGTAAATTTCTAAATTAAATTAGATCCCAATAAAATTACATTAATTGAATATTTATTTACAGTGTGTGTATAGAATGAATGCAGAGTGTGTGTATATAATGAATGCAGAGTGTGTGCTTGTATGTGTATATATAATGAATGCAGTGTGTGTGTGTGTGTGTGTGTGTGTGTGTGTGTGTGTGTGTGTGTGTGTTTGTGCAGTGTGTGTGTAAACTGGATGGGGGGAGGGCATTTTTATTTAAATTTTTTTTAATTTTATTATTTTAATATTTATTTGCATTATTGTCCCCTCTCTCCGCTTGTTGCCTGGTCAGGGAGGGGGGACAAAAAAATTTTTTTTTTTTTTTTAATAATTCAAATATTAAAATAATAATTAATAATTATTTTATTACGGTATATTTTAATATTTGCATTATTTTTTTTTTTAAATGTTTTTTTGAGGGGGGGACAAAAAACCATTAAAAAAAAAATAATGCAAATATTAAAATAATAATAAAATAATATATTATTTTATTATATTTTAATATTTGCATTATTTTTTACAAAATGTTTTGTCCCCCCTCCCTGGCCAGGCAACAAGCAGGGAGGGGGGACAAAAAAAACATTGAAAAAAAATAATGCAAATATTAAAATAATAATAAAATAATATATTATTTTATTATATTTTAATATTTGCATTATTTTTTACAAAATGTTTTGTCCCCCCTCCCTGGCCAGGCAACAAGCAGGGAGGGGGGACAAAAAAAACATTGAAAAAAAATAATGCAAATATTAAAATAATAATAAAATAATATATTATTTTATTATATTTTAATATTTGCATTATTTTTTACAAAATGTTTTGTCCCCCCTCCCTGGCCAGGCAACAAGCAGGGAGGGGGGACAAAAAAAACATTGAAAAAAAATAATGCAAATATTAAAATAATATAATATATTATTATTATTATTATTATTATTATTATTATTATTATTATTATTATTATTATTATTATTATTATTATTATTATTATTAAAATAAAATCATACTGAATCCCTGGTGGTCCAGTGGCATTGGCAGTTCAGTGGGGGGCTGACAGTGAGCGGTTACTTACCTTCCTGCAGCTCCTGTCAGCTCCCTCCTCCTCTTTGCAGCTCCTCGGTCAGCTCCGTTCTGTTTACAGTGTAAGGCGGATCTCGCGAGATTTACACTGTAAGCAGGACGGAGCTGACCGAGGAGCTGCACGGAGGAGGAGGGAGCTGACAGGAGCTGCAGGAAGGTAAATAACCGCTCACTGTCAGCCCCCAACAGGACCGCCGGGCTTGTAATGAGCCCGGCGGTCCTGGTCTGTATTGTGGCAATGTAAATTGCCACAATACAGACATTGACACGAGTATAAGCCGAGTTGGGGTTTTTCAGCACAAGAAATGTGCCGAAAAACTCGGCTTATACTCAAGTATATACGGTATATAGAAGGATGTAACTCCGGAATCAAGGTTGTGTATTAAGGTGGCAGTTCTGAGGGAAAGGAGGAAGTTAAATAGAGAGGAAGGAGTGTATGGTTTTTCTTTGGGGTTTGTTGGTGGCACGGAGACCATGGCTGTAAGGTCAGTGGCCAGGCGTGGGATTCGGTATCAGATAAATGGAGCTTTATCATGTTTGTTTTTCCAGATCACAGGAAATCTGGTGCAGAGCAAGCTGCGCGTGGAGAAGGAATTTATAAATGTTCTACCTATGAACACAGAGTGTGTGGTGGACAACATCAAAGTATTTCTGCTGGATGCCAACCAGTACGTGGCTTTCATTAATTTACTCCTGCATAGCACACAGCACATAGCCTCTGAAAGATAATGGGAGGTAATACAGGGCCCAAAATCAAAGTGTCTTGCTACTAGCCAGGCCTTAATTACTTGCCATTACAAATTTTCACCTACTATAAAACTTCAGCAGCTGCCCCTCCTCCAAATGTCTTAACACTGCCTGGGCATTGCAGTGTGCCCTGTGCAGCTGTCTGTATACCCTATGGGCTCATTTCCAGCCTCCTCAATGTTTCTGCAGTAAATTGTTGCTGTTAGCTATCAGCGCTTACTAATTTGTGACTGGCTTCCAACTTTGTCACTGTTTACAAGCTTGCATTGATACTTGCCAGTCACCGGTACAACACACAAACATGTGCCGTGTAAACTGTCACTAAATCAACCACACTTTGCCGGTATAAAGTCTTTGCTAGAGCACTGCCTTCTGTGTTTGGTGTTGGTAGGAGATAACCCTGTATACAATGTATTAAATTGGATACAGAACCATGGAACTTCTGAGGTTCATCTCTGCTTATGACAATTACACTTTACTTATAAAAACATTATTTTTATATCATGTCTTTAAATGACAACTGTTGCCTCAATAAAAAAAAAAAAAAAAAAGAATTTCTCTTATCACTGATCTGCTCTCTTCTAGTTGCCCTGGGGCTGTCTTGCTCCTCTTTGTTCTCCCCAATGGGACCACAGTATTGCATACAGGAGACTTCCGTGCTGATCAATCAATGGAGAATTATCTGCCTCTAATTGGCCAGAAGATCCACACGCTCTACCTCGACACCACGTAAGACTTTTGTCCTCTGAAAGGTTTCCTTCCATTCTGCAGTTTAGAAAATATGTTCACTTCTTTCGGAAGTGGCAGAAATATAAATTATAAATCAAAGATGAGGTGAATTTAAAAGATCCCTGCAGCTTTTTATTTTATTTTATTTTTTTTATTTGGTTGGTGGTGGGTTATCTCTTCCTAGCTTTAATTTGTTATAACATGCCGATAATGAACACTACAAATTGCAATACATTATATGTTGACGTACCTGCTAGTCCACTAGCAGTTTAGCTTCTTGACAGATTGCATGATTTGTGGACAATCTGTTTCTTTGCTAGACGCACTCCTGGGAGTGTCTTTCTGCTTTAATATAAATGATTCTTCCTTCAAAACCATCCCATTAGTCGTCCGATATAATAAACTGCTCCTGAAACCATTTTGTTTATACATTGATGCAGGAACTCTATTAAGGATCTCTGACAAACTTTATGCGTCACTAGACTGCCTCGGAGAGGTGCAGCGTGCGCTTTTAATGATTAGGATTTAAAGTTTGTTTGTGTCTGAGCTGAGGCTTGTTTGGCTCCCTGATGTTACGTTTCTCAAATTGCAGACTTCCACCCTGTGCAAGTAAAAGGACCACTATAAGCACCCAGACCACTTCAGCTCAATGAAGTGGTCTGGGTGCCAGGTCCAGCTAGGATTAACCCTTTCTTCTATAAACATAGCAGTTTCAGAGAAACTGCTATGTTCATAATGGGGTTAATCCAGCCTCTAGTGGCTCTCATTGACAGCCGCTAGAGGGCTTCCACGATTCTCACTGATTTTTCACAGTGAGAAGACTCCAGTGTCCATAGGAAAGCATTGCGAATGCTTTCCTATGGCCTGGCTGAATGCGGTGGCGTGTGCTGCGTGTGCGCATTCAGCCGACGACGAGTCGTCCCCCGCCCGGCGCTGGAAAAAGGTCAATTTAACCCCTTCCAGCCCCTAGAGCCTGCAGGAGGGGGACCCTAAGGGTGGGGGCATCCTCAGGGCACTATAGTGCCAGGAAAACGAGTGTTTTTCCTGGCACTACAGTGGTCCTTTTAAGGAGTGTGTCTTTAGTTATTACTGCAGATTACATGACAAGCTAATAAGTGTTAATATTAAATATAAGTTCCCCATTGGATCATAGGCAATCTTGCATTTAAAAAGGTGTCTTGTTTTTGGATTTTTCCTTCATTGTTACCTATTCTGTTCCAGTTACTGCAGCCCAGAATACACCTTCCCTCCCCAGCACGAAGTTATTGAGTTTGCTGCAAATGCTGCCTTTGAAATGGTTACCTCGCATCCACGCACACTGGTTGTCTGTGGAACTTATTCTGTTGGAAAGGAGAAAGTCTTCCTAGGTATTGTTCTCCGCTTGCAGTCACTAATATCTCACAACGGAAAACCCTATTCAGACTAGATGTTCATGTCCATTTTGCATGTTATTTCAGTGTTTTATGATTTATGTGACTTTAACCGTGGCTATGTCCATATTGCAAGAACTGCTTGGTTCCAGCCCTGCTGCCGGTTTTCACCCATTGTCGGCCTGAAATGTTTTTAGATGGGAATTTATTGCTATAATTACTGGCGGTTTCTAGTGTATTGAGAACTTGTTCTATTCGCTGCTGCCTGTGTACGCACATCTGCACTCTCCCACAATGATTGCTCACACTTACTCTAACCACCATTATGGGTTTTTTCCTTTAACTCTTTTGCCCAGACCCAGCAAAAGTGTTTTTTATTTATTTTTTTTACTATGTTGTATCCTTACACTTCTTGGCAATTTGTCTGTTAATTGTATAGGTTTAACCTCATTATAATCTCGTCATAATCTCATGGAAAGGGTGTTCTTCAAAGGCTGACATACCCTCGTTACCAGCCACGGAGCCACGTATGACCTTTTCTTGATGTAAAAACTCTTACTTGTTGTTTCTCCGTGCAGCTATCGCTGCGGTCTTGGGATGTAAGGTCAGCATGTCTCAGGACAAATATAAAACAATGCTGTGTCTGGAGTCTGAGGAAATCAGCTCGATCGTCACTACCGACTGGCACAGCACTGCGCTTCACGTTCTTCCCATGATGCAGGTTAATTTCAAGGTAAGGCTCCATTTCCTCGTGCATTTTGATAAGTTACTTAGAGCAGGAGACCGTACAATGAAAGAAAATGTCTTCAGCATCTCAAAGATTAAAGGCTTGGCTCCGTAAAGATCCATGCAGGTCTCGACTGTTCTCAAACTGTTTGGAAGTAATTTAACTGCTAACCTTGGGAAGGCACCAGGCAAAGGCCAAAGTAACTGATCTTGAAGCATTGCTGACTTAGAGAATTTTTCCAATTCATCTATTTTGACCTTAAACTTAAAATAGACTTAGAATTCCCTTTGAATGTGAGTAGAGTGATAATAGATACCAAATAAAAGTCCCCACAATATAACGGCACTCCGCCATCAATCCTCCCTTAAAGGCTGAGTGACGAAAGGTTCCGTGGACTTATTTGGTATCTGATGGTTCTCTCCTCACATTCATAGCTGTCTGAATCTGATGGTGTATATACTATATTCAGTGTGATTTGACTTGGATTATCTGTTTCTCTGATTTGGAGATACTTGGTGAATATCATCTTCACTTTTGCATTTTGAAATATTGCTGTAATTTGTATAACAAACTTGCATATTTGGTTAAAAATTAAATATTTAACTTTTTTTAAATTTATTTATTTTTTTATATCACATGGCTCAGTTCCTCCAACATTTATTGGTAATATGCGTAGCAATATGTAGTCTGTATTCTTTAACTAGTACAGCGAGGTAATGTCTCTAAAGTCTTCTCTATATTTCTTGTTCCACACAGGGTTTGTATGCTCACCTCAACAAGTTTTCTGGGAAGTATGAGCGTGTCTTAGCTTTCAAGCCTACAGGATGGACTTATTCGGACCAATGCAGTTCAGTGACAAATCTCAGACCTGAGACCAGAGGGAAAGTCACACTTTATGGTACAAACTGTCTTTGTGTCTCCTATCAGAGAGACCACGTCTGATCTCTGTGGTATGTGGGTTGGTTTGTGGGTTTTTTTAATTTAATTTTTTTTAATTTTATATTTTAGGTATACCATACAGTGAACACAGCAGCTACTTGGAAATGAAACGTTTTGTTCAATGGTGTAAGCCTCAGAAAATAATCCCCACAGTTAATGTTGGCAGCCCCAAATCCCGTTCTACCATGGAAAAGTATTTTACGGATTGGTCTCTGGAAGCTTCCTATAAACCAATCAGAAAGCCTACGTAATCGAACACGTTCTTTGCGAGGTTACAGTCTCACTTTTTATATACTAAAGCTATGGCTTTTACTGTATGACTTGGTGTTTATTTCTTCTTCCTGTCTGCTGCTAAATATACATGTGACCTCTTAGAAATGTTACCCTGGCCAGTGACCGCTATTCTGTCTCTCGAGCTGGTGCATTCCCTGTTTACCATACTTCCTGGTCTGGGTTAAATATCTAAAACTCTTTACTGAACTGTTCTGGACTCTGTCTATCTGTCACTTTATTAAGGTCGCTGTAAACCTGTGTATAAATATCAACATCGGTTTTATTGCACATGATGGATTTTTTTAACTTAATGTAATTTATGACTTTCAAACTTTTTTAGTAAGTTATTTAATAATTTTAGCCTTTTGCAGTATAACTGCTAAATACTAGCATTTTGTACACAAAAAAATACTTATAAAACAAATGAATGAAATAAACCTTTTCCAATCCAGTTTGAAATGTATCTTGTGCTAAAACATGTTATCGCTGAAGGGCTTGCAGATAGTTTAAAACAAAAAAACCCTCTGAATGCAAACATTTAAAGGGACACTAGTCACCAAAACAACTTTAGCTTAATGGAGCCGTTTTGGGGTATAGATGGCGTTATATCACCTTTGTTTCTGTTCATCCAGCGCTAGCCACACCTCCCCTGGCTGTGACTAAGACAGGCTGCATGAAGGCAAATTGGTTTCATTTTCAATCAGATGTTACTTTAAAATGTGTATCTTCTGCTCTGTAAACTGAACTGTAATCACACGAAGGAGACCCCTGTAGCGTATAGCAAGCTATTAACAGAGCAGGGGATAAAAAATAATTATTAAATAGAATTTGCAATAAGGAAGTGCAAACATTAGATGACTGTTTTAAGGAAGTGTTTAGGAAGGCTGTGTGTCACATGCAGTGAATATTAACTCTGTATCTATTCCATATTAATACTCTGCATCTATCTATTCGTTCAATATAGATATCTTAATTCACTGTAACTATTAGTATCATATTGCTGTCTAATACCATATTTTCTATTACTGGTCCGTAACTATTGGTATCATATTACTAACAACGTTTTCGGGCACACATTCAAGTGTCCCTTCAGCTTATCTCTGGTCAGTTTATTCACAAGTTGCAGCCAATATACACATTCCTTTGTCAAAACAAGAAGTCATGCATGCACTTAATTTTGTTGGTTTTTAGGAAAATACAGGTGTACAATCAGAATGTTGAGGCAGGATATGCAGCGGACATTAAACACATGTAGATGGTGCTGTTCTGTAAAAGATTTCTTCCAGTCTGTAAAGTAAGTGTCTCCAGGTATTGCGCTTTTCTACTTAACAGGAAGGGGATTTCTGATTACAAGTTTTTTGTGTTCAGCATAACTGGAAAAACGTCCCCTGCTAGCAAATGGTTCATGGCCTCTGTCTATTGTGCTTTATCTCCCTGCAATGCGGCTGCTCTTTCTGAGTATAAAGAGACATTTTTGTTGCGGTGCATGTCACGATGAGCAATGCCCCCAGGGCATACCCCTTCCTAATCCCATTCCTCAGAATGAAAATAATGGGATTGGCTTTTTGTGAATCACTAACTGTTTTTTTTTTTTTTTTTTTGAGAAACAGCAGAGTTTTAACGAATGGCATTTAGATATTAATGGATTACACCAAACACTTGAACCACTTCAGTCATTTGAAGTGGTGCTTGTAATCTGTGTGCAGCGTTTCACTTCCTTACACCTGGTACCGGCTGATTGTCTTATGTCAATGCTGTGCCCACCCTATAACTCACCATCCACCCAGATGGGGTATGCCCCCTCACGCCCTATGCTGCCCATGCCCTTCCTGACTTCCATCCCACTCAAGCAAGGGCAAGTAATGTCACCTAAGCACTTTAAAGAATAATTATCATTATTACTGGTGTTTATAAAATGCCAACATGTTCCTCAGCGCTGTACAATTGCAGCTGCAGACTATGCTATAAACTGAACCAGTATGACAAGAGGTTAAAGGTTAGTGAAAATAAAGTGGGTTTTTTTCTGTTTACGTTTTGAGGGATTGGAACCAGCCTCTGCTAAATTCTATTCCCCAAAAATTATTTAATCTTTCAATAAGAGAAATCAAGAATTTTTTTTAATTTTTAAGAATAAAAAATCACAATTAGTTTTACTCTTTGCTAGTGCTGCAGCCACATCCATTCCTGCTCGCTAAGTGTAATCCTAAACATTTCAATAAAATAAAACCTACACGTACACAGACAGAATGTAGCAAAGAACCATAGAATCCTGATTAATAAATCAGAAAAAACAGGGCGCTACAATCACAAGGTTAAATTTAATATGGAGATTTCCAGGGATAGGAGGGACAAATAGATGTAAGAAAACTAGCCACTTTATTTGTAATAAATCCAAGTAAAATAAGCAATAGCTCACACAAAATTGTGCAAAATCGCAATACAATGTAAAAAAACAAATAAGGCACGATAGCCCCTATGGACAGCAGCTTCAGCTATACACATGACTGTGCACATATAACAAAGTGCCAGTGCAAAAAAGTGTCAAAATGTAGACAATGCTAAATGACACAACACAAAAACCAACAGTATACTGACAAGATAAGACTGCTGTACCACCAGTACAGGGCTCTCGTAGCTGCTCAACGCGTTTCGTGGGTTAGACTTCTTCAGGAGCTTCTGTGTTCCCCTTGGCGTCTTCTCCTTTTAAATCCGCCGATCTGGGCGCCATTCATAACCCATGCATGCGCAGAACCGTTGAGCGCACGGCCATACGTGATGACGTGCGGTCGACCGATGTGCACATGCGCCACCAAGCTGGAACACAAATAACTTTATGAATACTGTACCTACCCAGACATACAGACGAGCGTAACCATATCCAGGAACGCTCTATATTCTCACGGTCTGGGTTAACAGCCCTGCCTATTGAGGGAAACTATATGCTAACAAAGAAAACTAGCAAATAATATTAAAAATACAAATTGCACCATCCGCTATTCAAAGATAAAGTGGTGAAAATTAATATAATGTAGAGAAAAATATAATGTAAAGAAAAATACCAGCCATCAAAATGGAGAAATCTCCTATAAGAATATATATATATATATTCCATTTGTGTCACTGTGTGACATTCAAATTGTTACATGAATAAAACGAAGGCTAACAAACAGAATCTAGCTCTTCCATCGTACCCATAAGGCACAAAACAAGATCACACAAGAAAATAGATAATAAACACTCATATCAAGGGACAAAGACCAACATTATATAATATATACATGTATAAACATATGTAAAATTATGTACAACATAACCGGAAGTCAATCAATGATTATTTATTCTTCAGGATCCCAAAAGTTATTCAAGATGGAACATTCTGTCACCATGGAGTTTTCTTACTTTCACTAGTTAAGAATAACAAAAGTAGAGATAAAAATAGATTAAAAATAATAAAAAATATTAGTGAAATGGAGGTGAAGTGCAAAGCAAAAACACAAGAAAAAAAGAAAATGATTAGTTTATTCTGAATCCATAAAGGCCAATAGATCCAAGTCTGTATTAAGACCCGAGGGGACCGAAGTTTTCATTTTATATATCCATTCAGTCTCTCACATTTTCTTAGTATCCACCCACCCCCCCCTCCAATGTGGTACAGTCAGATCAATCCCAATACATAAAAAATCTTTCCAGTTAAAAACCTCACAGGTAGTGCAATGTTTAGGAACACTAGGCTTCATGTTTTTATTATTAGTTCTAGAAATCTCACATGTAATTTCCTAATGGTGCGTCCTATCTATTGGACGCCACATTTACATTGTAACAGATACACTACAAATCGGCTCTGACAGTTTATAAAATGCTTAATTTTAAAAGTTTCATTTGTAACCGAACTTTTGAATTCTGTAGTCTTATTCACTTGAAACTTACATATGCTGCATCTACTGCATTTAAAAAAAATCTTGTGAAGAATCCCCCTCCATTCATTCGGTACTTTCCCTCCCTGCTACTTTATTCATGGATTTATTACTGTGACGAAGTGCCCTTCGCCACTTGTGCCTGGAGAGGACTGCTTTTTTTACTTTACTTTTCTGACAAGATATAATGGCAAGGCAAACCTGATTGAAAAATCTATACAGAAAAATTGGCCAATTTTATTACAAGATCAATACTTAAAGAAAATTTTACCTACAAATCCAAAAGGGTTATACAAGAAAACAAATAATTTGAAAAGTATTTTAGCCCCCTGTATACTCCCTAAAAAAGAGGTTAAGAAGGATCAGTCTAATATTTTATCTGAGAATCCTGAAGGTTTTTTTAAATGCAGTAGATGCAGCATATGTAAGTTTCAAGTGAATAAGACTACAGAATTCAAAAGTTCGGTTACAAATGAAACTTTTAAAATTAAGCATTTTATAAACTGTCAGAGCCGATTTGTAGTGTATCTGTTACAATGTAAATGTGGCGTCCAATAGATAGGACGCACCATTAGGAAATTACATGTGAGATTTCTAGAACTAATAATAAAAACATGAAGCCTAGTGTTCCTAAACATTGCACTACCTGTGAAGTTTTTAACTGGAAAGATTTTTTATGTATTGGCATTGATCTGACTGTACCACATTGGAGGGGGAGGGGGGAGATACTAAGAAAATGTGAGAGACTGAAAGGATATATAAAATGAAAACTTCGGTCCCCTCGGGTCTTAATACAGACTTGGATCTATTGGCCTTTATGGATTAAGAATATACTAATCATTTTCTTTTTTTCTTGTGTTTTTGCTTTGCACTTCACCTCCATTTCACTAATATTTTTTATTATTTTTAATCTCTATTTTTATCTCTACTTTTGTTATTCTTAACTAGTGAAAGTAAGAAAACTCCATGGTGACAGAATGTTCCATCTTGAATAACTTTTGGGATCCTGAAGAATAAATCATTGATTGACTTCCGGTTATGTTGTACATAATTTTCCATATGTTTATACATGTATATATTATATAATGTTGGTCTTTGTCCCTTGATATGAGTGTTTATTATCTGCCATTTTCTTATTTGCCCTTGTGTGATCTTGTTTCGTGCCTTATGGGTACGATGGAAGAGCTAGATTCTGTTTGTTAGCCTTCGTTTTATTCATGTAACAATTTGAATGTCACACAGTGACACAAATGGACTTTTTTTTTTTTTTTTTATATATATATTTTTATAGGAGATTTCTCCATTTTGATGGCTAGTATGATTTTATTTTTCTTTACATTATTTTTTTCTCTACATTATATTAATTTTCATCACTATTTTTCCTTGAATAGCGGATGGTGCAATTTGTATTTTTAATATTATTTGCTAGTTTTCTTTGTTAGCATATAGTTTCCCTCAGTAGGCAGGGCTGTTAACCTGGACCGTGAGAATATAGAGCGTTCTTGGATATGGTTAAGCTCGTTTGTACGTCTGGGTACAGTATTCATAAAGTTATTTGCGTTCCAGCTTGGTGGCGCATGCGCACATCGGTCGACCGCACGTCATCACGTATGGCCGTGCGCTCAACGGTTCTGCGCATGCGTGGGTTATGAATGGCGCCCAGATCGGCGGATTTAAAAGAAGACGCCAAGGGGAACACAGAAGCTCCTGAAGAAGTCTAACCGACGAAACGCGTTGAGCAGCTACGAGAGCCCTGTACTGGTGGTACAGCAGTCTTATCTTGTCAGTATACTGTTGGTTTTTGTGTTGTGTAGTGTCATTTAGCATTGTCTGTATTTTGACACTTTTTTTGCACTGGCACTTTGTTATATGTGCACAGTCATGTGTATAGCTGAAGCTGCTGTCCATAGGGGCTATCGTGCCTTATTTGTTTTTTTACATTGTATTGCGATTTTGCACAATGTTGTGTGTGCTATTGCTTATTTTACTTGGATTTATTACAAATAAAGTGGCTATTTTTCTTACATCTATTTGTCCCTCCTATTCATGGAAATCTCCAGATTAAATTTAACCTTGTGATTGTGGCGCCCTGTTTTTTCTGATTTATTAATCAGGATTCTGTAGTTGTTTATATAGAGGTTTTGAAGTGACCTTGTGACAGTGGCTTGCCTACACTAGTTTGGTATTATTTCACCACCCACCCATACACGGTTTTTGTTTATAGAATGTAGCAAAGCACTGACTAGGTACGAGTTGGAGAATGTTCCAAATTAGCTTCTTTTGACTACATTTTGTGCATTTCAATTCACTACAATTTGGCATTTAGTGAATATGCCCTAATGGCTTACAAACCTTCTCACCTACCTGCCCAAGCTCAGAGTGTACCAGGTTATACTCAGCTAGTTTTATTTTCCATGGCCAGTAGGTTCATATTCCTCCAATTTTCCCTGCTCAACGAATATGTTCTAGCAAATTTACAAAGGATTTTCTCTAAAATACTTTACTTTTGCCTAATCACACACCAAACTACATAAATTGCTATAGACATTTTGTGGAGTCACCCAAAAATGTGTTGGTTTAATTGGTTTTGTCATTCTCCCAACA